TAGAGTACAAAGCGCATAATATTAAAATAATAACGCCTTCCATTCTCGCTCAGTCTGCAATAGCATAATGGAATGTGCTGATGACGTATCATGTCTGTGCAAACAGGGTGCACAGAGGTATGCAAATGCATACGTTGACAGGCAGGTAGGACAGCCTATCGTAATGTTCGGACAGAATAATCTGATATGCCGAATATTTTATGGTCCTACGCCTTCCACAGACGATATAAATACAAATAAATACATTTAGACCACTTAACTTATTGAGTGCTATCGGGATGTGAAGAGAATTTCAACCAGCATAACAAAAAAGGTTTTTGAACCAAATCACCTACCCTGCCTTTATTATTAAATATTTGAAATATTAAATATATATATTTAATTTTATATTTAATGTTTTATATTTAAATATACAAATTGAACTTGATTAATTATTTATATTTAATGATTAAAATATTACTGTATTTTTAAATAGATTTAACAATATTTTATAAAGCTGTTGATGCCAGTTACAGAAGTAACATTAATATTCATTATATATAAAAGTAAAAATAAAATGGTTTAAATTTTTCAACCCCTTGTTTATCACTACCCTCTTCCTGTCTGTCTCTCTCTCTGTCTGTCTCCCCCTGTTTCTTTGCTCTGCTATCGATCGGTCCGCTCTGATGGAAATGTGCTTTTACTGGCTGCAGCTGGTGGAGACGGTTCAGACTCTTGGATGCTGTCAGACGCTTTCGTAAAGGAATGAAGAAAAATGAGATGAATAGATTGCAAGGAAGGAGGGGAGGGGTGATATCAGCTGCTCTGCCACTCGCTGGCAGTCGTCACGGAGCTAAATGAATACTGACATATTTGTATTTATTTAAATTAAAGTTGTTGTGGTATGGTTAGTGTCAGGAGGATCTTATTTAAATACCAATTAGCAGGTTTATTAACCGCTTTTTCTGTTGATTAATATAATTAGCGTGCAGATAAATGAATAAGAGTGAGGGGGGTGAGGTGTTTATAAAAAGGAAAAAGACATCCTGATTAGCAAAGTGTAACAATGAAGCAATCACTTGTTATACCGTTTTCTCATGGATAAAGGTATTTCTCATTTCTCTAAGTACCTTTCTGTACCTAAAAATATACTATTTTCACTTTTACAACAGCTCATGTGATGGATTTTGTGAGTTTCTGCACAGCCTGGATACATTAAAGGCCTTTTAACAAAATGACCCATAATTGTCCTCCATGGCAGCTTTGTCTGACGTTCTGATGGATGTTGCTGAAGGTCTCTGCCTACAGATCTGTCCCTTCTGAGTGGACTTGTGTGCCCCCCAACCCCCTCCCGTCCCAGTCAAACACCCCCTCGTCCTGAGCATCCCTGCCCTTCCGCAGCCTCTCGGCGCCGTGGTAACAATGGACATGCCAAGGTCTGCTATAGAATATGCATCAATCAGTTCATCTATGACCTGGTTGGTTGAAGAGCCAAGGGCTCATGAATATTTGCATGACAGTTACAGTGGCACAGATGTTTCTTATCACTGTGAAAGGAGTGACACTGGTAATGTCCATCTCGTGATGCATCATTAGAGCCTTTCTCCAGCAAGCAGTAAAAATCAACAGTATTTGAAAATGTGCGCACACATACTCAAATCAAATGTTGTAATACAATATATATATATATCATTTTGATGTGCAACTGAAGAAGGACAAACATTAGATAGACAAAGAAACTCTTTGTTAATAAACATTAGCTTATATTAATGTTCTTTGCAAGCAGTTTAATGAGCTGTGTTCCACCTGTACAACCTTCAGTACAAACACACACAGGAAGTGCATTTCTGTGTGTCTCAGACACATATGGTGTGCTCTCTGTAGAGCTCTGATGCGACCTGATCCTGGATCAGATGAGAGATCATTCGTTCATGTGTTACATTCTCACCCTGAGCCAGTAAGACGGGGAATTCCTCAGCACTCATCTCCTGGGCCTCTCCGAAATCTATCCAGCCCAGTCAGGCTGGATTACATCTCCTGTAACTCCATTTCAAATACAAATCATAAATGTTTCTCTTTGAGAAAGGTGAATTATTGATGTTTGAGCTGCAATCCCTGGAGAGAACGAATGAGTTTTAGAGGAAGAGGAGAGCAAGGCTTTTCTCTTTCTACACATATACTTAATCTACATTTAATACAAACTGAAGTATGCCTGTGTGTGGTCTCAACTTCCAGCCTGTAACATCAGGCAGTGTTATTTTAGTCTTATTTGTGTATACTTTTATAATATTTTAATATTATAATAATTAATAAAAAACAATAGCTTTCTTTTTTTCTTTTTCTTTAGTTTGTCATTTTATGCGATTTAGCTTTAATCTATTTTTATTTTCAGTTTTCAGTTTTAATTTTAGTACTTCAACTTATTTCAATTAGTTGCCAAGGTTACAAAGTTAGTTAAGTTAAGGTTTTCATCTAATTTTTATATTTTATTTAAGCTTTATTTTAATTTAAATGAAAGCTTTTTAATAGTTTTACAGTTAGTTAACAATAACACTGGCATCAGGTCCATGTCAGAAAGAGTGTACCAGACAAACTCAAGCCTACAAATTCTACTGTTTAATTAATATTTATTTTGAACCAGTTCTTTGAAATGTTTTGGTTAACTGATTCACAAAAGCATTTATATATTGCTTAACTGTAAATGAGATTGTAAAACTGTGAGGTGCATGATAAGTTGGAAACCATGCCAATGTAATATTGATAACTTGATAACTTATATTTTAACTAAAATTTTATTTTTTTAGTTTTACTACAAAGTTTTACTACAAAGATGAAACATACTTTGCAGCAAAGGGGGGACCTCTGGAAACATTCTGAAGTGAACAAATCAGTCAAACATTTCTTTTTTTTAGTCTTTTTTTTCTTTTCTCCAACCTTGATTAAAAACGCACCTGCCTGTAGCTTTCTAGTAAGCCTTAGACCAGTGTTTCTCAACTGGTGGGTCACGACCCAAAAGTGGGTCGCAAGACCGTTCTGAGTGGGTCGCGGAATGTACAGTCAAAGAAACAACATCAGCAAGGGAAGAATCCTCCAGGAATCACAAATGACCAGAAACGTCATTGTTGAATAATGGAAATTCATTGGTCAAAAGGTGTGGAAAATCTGAGTGTGGTTGATCATACAGCTGTCAGGATGTTTTTCCTGGGCTGTAAAATCTCTTTCTCCTCTGCTCTTTTATTAATGCTGCAGTTTCTGGGATTAATTATTCATAATTCTTGTCTGTATGGTGTGTTTGTGATCTTTGCCCTTCTACAGATGTTTTAAAAACATATTGACATGTTTGACAGAAAACACAAGCAGCTTTTAGCTGTTTGAGGGAAGTATATCCTCTAACATTTAGATGCTGATAGCAGACATTTCTCCTTTATTTCTACTAAAGAAAGTCCAGAGAGTCCTGTAGAGTTTCACTTCTCCTTTAAGAGTGATAAGAGCTCTGTCTGCCTCTTCAGCTTTCCTTTCAGGAGCAGGAGAAGTGTGTGTGTGTGTGAGTGAGAAGAGGTCCTTAACCTCCCATCAGATAGAGGCAGAGAGGCATTTCAGGAGTCCAGTGACAGACACTTTAGAAAAGACTTGCAGTGCCACACTGATTTCACCAGCTTAATGTGCGTTACTGGTGTGACGCATTTCTGATCTTCTCACAACCTCTCTGCTTTCTTTTGTGTGTGTGTGTGTGTGTGTGTGAAGGACAGTATACAGCACACTTAAACTCCATCAGCATGTTTTGAGGTCTTCCAGTGCTTGCTTGCACATAGATGTTTGAGTAAGAATCACATTAGTTCCTAGTTTGGTCTGGTCTGATATATGATACGTGTGATATAATATGTAATAGACTAGACTGGACTGGTATAGTAGGGTATGATATGGTCTGGTCTGCTGTTGTCTGATCTGGTTTGCTCTGAGAGCAGCAGGCTCAGGTTTGCTAGCAGCTATTAACCCATATTTTCAGAGAAATGTCTGTTCTCATTTTGTCCATGATCAGAGTGTTTAACCCCGCGTTGCTCCAGCTGTACTGTACAGTAGGTTCATTTGAATGTGCGTACTGGTTGGCCGTGGGGCTCATGTGGGCGGTGCAGGTTTGACTCCTGCTGCTGTTATTTTAATATCTCTCTATTAAAGACACACCACGACCCTTGTATGTGTGTGTTTCTAGCCGCTGGCCTCATACTGGGGTCCCCCGCTGTGCTGGACAGTCTGTCTCTTACACTTAGACAACTCCTCATGTTACCTAGCGACCGTATCCAGGAGGCAGGCAGTGCACGGACACATGGACCGCTTTGTCTCCCCCTGAGACTGAGTCTGTCTGTCTCTCTCTCTCTGATGTGTGTGAGTCATGAAGGGCAAATTACTCTGGACACTGGTGTGTCTCTGCAGGATTCTGCATGTTTTCTTTTAAAGGGATAGTTCATCCAAAAATGAAAATTTGATGTTTATCTGCTTACCCCCAGGGCATCCAAGATGTAGGTGACTTTGTTTCTTCAGTAGAACACATATGATGATTTTTAACTTTAACCGTTGCAGTCTATTAGTCGTATAATGTTTGGCAATGGTAACAAAATCTATGAGAGTAAAAAAAAACATGCACAGACAAATCCAAATTAAACACTGCGGCTCGTGACGATACATTGATGTCCTAAGACACGAAACAATCGGTAAACATAAAATTTTCATTTTTGGGTGAACTATCCCTTTAAGAATCTGCCTGCGTCATACAAAGGTTTCTTGTCATGCATTTGTCCTGTTGAGCAATGAAACTGAAATACTGCAAAGAAAATGCTTGTACTGTAAGAAATCATTGTTTTATACGTGTCTTGAGCTTGGATAATAATTAAACGTAATCATACAAAGAGTTCAAATGACTTTACTTAAAAGATGTTTTATCTGGTCTCACTCTACTTTTTTTTAGTACTTTACACTTTGTATGTTCTTTGACTCATTAGTGTGTTTTTTGTTTTGTTTTTCAGGTAGAGGATGCCATGTTAATGTTTGACAAAACTACAAACAGACATAGAGGTAAGACGATCTCTAAGTAATAATGCAAAATATATGTGAGTGTCCTCTAATGTTGTGGATGACACGAAGCTGTGTGTGAGAGATATATGGGTGATTCTCACGAAATCTTGGTTTTAAAAATTTCAAGCATGAAAATTAAAAAAATGCTTAAATTAACCTTTTTTTTTTCCAGACATAAGCAACAAAGTCTGGGTATTTATGAACATTGATTTAAAAAACTTTTACCCTTTTTTTTTTTTTCTAAATATTTTTATGTTAATTTGTTTTAATTACAACATAACGCGCATTTGAACACAGCCGGAAGCATTGCGGTAATGAGAATTTCAGCAGAAAATGCAGTAAAATAGATAAATAATTAATTCTCAAGTTGAAATTACACATTGTGCAAGGTAGAGAACAGTATTGTCTTTATTCTGATGCTTTTTTATATTACTAAATTACATGTTTTATATTTAAAATCATTAGTGCCGTGGTGTTTTAATGGTTTCGTGAGAATCACCCATTTACTGATTTTGTTGGTGTAATTTTTCATATGAATTCAATTTTGTACACTTCCATTCAAAAGTTGGGGTGTTTTTTCATTTTTTGGATGTCTCTTATGCTCTCTAAGGCAAAAATACAGTAAAAACAGTAATATTGTGAAATATATTTGCAATTTAATATAATAATATAATAACAGTTTTCTATTTTAATATATAAATTTTTTTTATTTATTCCTGTGATGACAAAGCTGAATTTTCTGCAGCCATTGCGCCAGTCTTTGTCACATGATCCTTCAGAAATCATTCTAATATGCTTATTTGGTGCTCAAAAAACATTTCTTATTATTAAAAAAGTTTTTTTTTTTAAACTGTGATATGTTTACATATGTTTTTCATTCTTTGATGAATATAAAATTTAAAAGGACACAATTTATTTGAAATAGAAATCTTTCGTAATATTACAAATGTCTTTACTGTAACTGGATCAATTTAATGCATGCTTGCTGAAAAAAAAAATTTTTTCTTTAAAAAAGAAAAAAAATACTAACCCTAAACTTTTGAATGGTAGTGTAAGTCCTGGGTTTTTATCTAATTAATTTTCTTTATTAATTCATTATTGTATTACAAAGCAGATGAAAAAACTTTCACTCATGTGATGTAGATGCCAGCCACAAAAGCTGGGTTGAGTTGACGGATCAATTAACAAAAACATTATTATTTTTGTCTATCTTTCATTTTCAATTAAATTTTTAAGTTTTTACATTTGTGATCCTTGCAAATGCGAGGATTGACGGTGCACTATACCTAGTGTCATTCCAGTAAAGCATGGCAAAAAATTAAATACAATAATTTGTATTTAATTGAGAAGGGAGATCTGTACAGTACAGAACATTTCAGAGTGGGAAAAAGAGAGAGAGAGAGATAAAGAGAGAGTAAATGTGTATAAAACAGCCAGTAAATGTGTGATTTTTAGATTGCAAGAGTGCATATCCCTCTCACACACGTTCTTTCACACTACTGTCTCCTTTCTCTCTCGTGTCCTTCATGCCCTCCAGGTGACTGTTAAACTGCTGTTAAAAGACGCTTTTTGTCCGCCTCCATTCTTTTCTCCCCCACTTTTCCTCTCTCTCTTGCTCTCTCTCTCTCCTTTCACTAAAGAGACTGCAGCAGAATCTCTCTGGCATTTTCAGGTTGAAATGAGGATGATTGTGTTGGAAATTGAGCTCCAAAGCTCCATCAGTCCTGCTGCCCCAGTGCATTGTGGGAACGTGCATTGGCTCTCCTGTGGGCGCATGGATCAGGGATGTTATTCAGACATTGAAGGGGTTTTGTGGCAGGATTTCATGCTGTTAATTACAGATGTAATGGTGTGATTTTCATCAGGGCTCTGCTGGTTCCTTTTGCGAGCTGTTTGTGTGCCGTTACAGTTACAGTGAATACCCAAAGGCCATACAGCCCTTGCTCTGCCAGAACACACACTGTGTTTGCAATAACATGCCGTCATACAAACCAACTTTGTCATATTATTTTTAAAATTGTGTATGATATCATTTACATAGTGAAACAATGAATGCAAGGGTTGTTGCGTTTTTCATGGAAATACAGTCAGGTTTCAGTTTAATGTTCAAATGAAAAATACTTTATCAGCTACACTTAACAGTAATCATGAAACTTGTGACTTTATTCGTGAAGAGGTGTAGATTTCCTGTGGAAGTCAGACAGATGGTGATGACAAAAACATCTTTAAATGATGGAAGTTCTTATGTTTTTGAATATATATTCTGAGATGGCCTTCTCAGATGTCTGCTAAAACCTGAAACTGTAATTTGGAGACTTATACATTGACTATTGCATTGTGGGAAAAATTGGTTTATGGATGGATGGATAGACAGATAGAACGATAGATAGATAAAATTATAGACAGACTAGTAGATGGAATGGATGGATAACTGGATGGATGGATAAACGGATGGATGATGGGTGGACGGATGGATGGATGGATGGATGAATAGATATGTAGACGGATGGATAGATAAATAGACGGATAGATATATAGGTGGATGAATGGATAGATAGAAATATAGCTAGATGGATAGATTGATAGATGACTTGATATATAGATAGGTGAATAGATGAATAGACAGATTTAAGAATAGATCAATGGATGATAGACAGATGGATAGATAGATGGATGGATGGTTGGATTGATTGATATACTGATGGATAGATAGGTGGATAGATGAATAGACAGATGGATAGATGGAAGGATGGATTTGAAAAAAGAGAGAAAAATATGACGTTGGCCAACACATTAAATTTATTCAGACCAAAATCATTTGAATGCATATCACGTAATCATTATTTCCACACTGTTAAGTAAGGAGTTCCCAGGAGGACTTGAAGGCAGCATGTCTCTCTGGTCCTCTGTTTACTGCAGTAATTCCCACATTTCAGTGTGGCATCTAAAACACTTGTGTAATCCAAACCCTCATTTCCCTGTCAAACACTCTGCTAGCATCTGACAGAAGGTGGTTTTGACGTGGTGTTTGCGAGAGATGGTTTAGTCTAGGTTTTTATTTCAACAGTGCGTGTAGGAGGACAGTTTTGAAGCGGTGCTGACGGAGAAAGCCCCATTCCCATCATTCTGCATTAAATGCTGCACACATTAACATTTTCCTTTACATCGCCACCCCATTTGTTCATCTGTCTCAAGCACATTTTTCTCAAAGAACTTTTTTTTTTCATCGTAATAAAAGACGCAGTAGCGCAGTCACACCTGTAATTCCCATGGCAGAAGTTCTGCTGCTTTTGCTCACCCAATTTCCCTGAATATAAAAGTCTGCCGGGATGATGAAAGCTGGTGTAACGTCACGGATGCTGATGGTTCTGCTCAACAGGCTTCCGAACAAGCGTCTGATTACAGCTGGAACTTTGTGATTTTCAAATGATGTAAGTAAAAGTAACAGCGTCTCGGTTTGATCAACAGAGAGCATGAATTATGACTTTTATTGTTGAGCAGCATAGAGAAAAGAAAGTGAGAGAGAGAGGAGCAGGTGTTGGGCTGAGTTAGGAATTTTTGGCCATGGATGATGTTTTGTTTTGAGTGCGTTTCCTGGATGCTCCAGAGGACCGGATTGTTCCTGGACGACGAACAGAAGGTGGTATTGTGTGCGTCTGTAATCTCCTTACCTTGATCGGCGTTCCCTGGACTCAACACAGTCCCCAGCCTGTGCGTGCGTGTGTGTGTGTGTGTGTGTGTGTGTGGCTGTCTGTTTGAGTCTGATAACTTTGTGGCATATTACAGTATTTATTTGTGCATGAGTGCTTTGTTAGGTGTTATTGATATTCTGCTTTCATTCAGACTGATTGTAGAGAAAAAGATGGTCAGATCCACAATCAAGAGCAGGACATTTTTAGCTCTGTCGTTTATCAGAAACATTATCTCTTTCTTTCTCTCCTTATGTCTCTTGCTCTTTTACCATCTCTAAATTTTTCAAATATATTCTTCAAATACAACATATTCATCAAACATATACAGTGGGTATAAAACGTCTACACACTCCTGTTAGAGATGTAAAAAAAAAGTAAAATCACGTCAGAACTTTTTCCACCTTTAATGTAATATTGAAACCAACATATATAACTGGACATGCTAACAATCCAAATTAAATCAAGTTAACCATGTTCATTAAAATAAATTATTTATTTAAATTATTATTACTCCAATAAATATTACTATATATTTTGCAAATTATTATATTTTTAAATAAGTTCTAAAATGGTAAATAATATGAAATATTAGCTTTTTTTTTTGTTTTTTTTTGGAAAAGCTATAAAACAATTAACTGTTAGAAAATTGCTATGTTGCTTTTTTCAAAAGAAAAAATAAATAAAACAGTTGATAATTAATATTAATAAAACATATAATGTGTGTGTGTGTGTTTCACAGCTCAAACTATATATAGATAGGTAGATGTATGTGAGTGAAACCTGGTTTTCTCTCTGTTTCAGGGTCTATATATATACCCAGAAACAGAAGAGAGAAAACCAGGCTTCAAGTCAGCTTTGCATCAGCATGAAGTATGTTTTATATCCCTAACCAGTTCCTGTGGAGCTCTTGATTGAACTGGTTTTGGAGAGATCTGACAGGAAGAGAGGCAGTTGGGCTGTGTCGGGGAGCCCGTCATCTCCTCTGGAAATGAAAATACTGCCCCTCAATTGTCATTGCATGTGACCTTTGACCTTTTAATCACCTGGAGCTAATGTACATGCTGTAAATATACAGACTTGTGGGAGGGAATCAGGGACCTTAACACAGGTTAAACTCTCTCAGATTGAGGCCAGCGTTGAGGAATGCTGAGTCCACAATGTGTTCGGTTTATCAAATATATAGTTGTGCAAACATATTACATTCCTGGCTTATTGTGTGTGCTATATCTTCTAATAGCTTACTGACCCGTCCAGTGTGCCCTATCAAATCCCTGTCCAGTGAAATCCAGATATGCCATCAGAAATCGG